ACAATGTTTAGTCTGGAATCAGTAAATCTTCAAATTCGATCTTCATGAAAACGAAGCTTTAAATCAAGAGAATTTATTCTCCTTTTTCGACATATTTTTTTCGCATAGAATCGTCACTTGATCGGTGGCGCTACCATGATTTGGAAACACCCTGTACATCCCGCCGGTGCAATAGTGGGGTAGCGTGCCGCGAGAGGGTGCCGCACGAGGCAGGTCAGGGCTGGGGCTCAGTACGTTTGCGTACGCTGTTCCGTTCGCATTGTGTCACGTTCCTCCGCGATTCTTCGCTTTTGCTAACTACTCCATTCCTCTGTGTATCGAGTCCTCTTGGCGGTGATATCAAGCCAGTCGCACGAGGCGCTATCGATGTGTGATGACCAAGTGCGTGTATTATACGCAATGGTGTAACGGGCTTACATAATTGACGTACATACAAGCAGAAAGTCGCATATATACGCGCGTGATACGAGTGAGAGTGCGTGCACCGCCGATATTACACGTCCGCTGTTACGCACCGTTTTATTCAATTACCTCTCTCTCTCTGTTACCCGTTTCGGTACGTACGTATTTTATTTCCGTGTTCCCGCACATTAAACTTAAGATTTACACCTACAGGTCCTTATCCGTCCCTTTCTGCCGCCTGCTCTGGTGCCCTCTTTTTCTCTCGCTCCCTCCTCTACTCTGACAGCTTGGTCGATTCACGAATCTGCCGGGCCATTTCCCCGGGCTTCTTCAAAATAAGGCCAAAAGGTTACCATTTCTCGTCCACCAACGATTCTCCTCCCCTTTTCCTTAGTAATATATATATTTTTCTCTTTTCTCTCTCCATTTTTTCTTTTCCTTTTCGTTTTCTGTCTCTTTCCCTCTATCGTTGACTCATCGTTCGGCTCTCGACGGTTGTACGACGTCGGGTGAATTCATGTCGAAGCCGGGTTCGACAAACACGGAACGACACCGTGCCGCGAAGTAACGCGTCTCGATTTTCTAGCGACCGATAAAAATTAAGCTTATGGGTGTGTAAACAATAAACAAAAACCAAACACGAGCGATCGAATAGTACGCGGAAGTTCTCGTCAACGAAGCGTGCTCTTCTCCCCCTTTTTTTTTTCTTCGCAATTCGATGAACGTGCTTACGAGCCTTGTGAGAGGGAACACATTGCCGCATTTTGGAAAATAGCGTGACTCTAGGACCACTTTCACGGGTATTCATTTTCAAGATTATACACCGAGATCGCGTTAATTTTTGTCGATCCATCCCTTCGCGCGGTTATTACGTTTATCACGTCGTTAGAGTTTCATGTTAAAAAGGTTATGATACCATGGAGCTTTCATAGGTGGACATTTGTTTTTGCATTGTGCCCGTTGGAAATTGAACTAGCACGCGTTATTTTCATATGCTGTAGCCGTTTTAGTAGCTACCTGTTAGCCAATGTGATATTTTTTCTGTTTGATTTCACACAATTGATGTGCTACGTTATTTGGTTTTTGATTTAGTTTGGTTTCATTCATGGCTACTCTTGCTGGTTCCGTTTTGTCCTTACTTGCCTTTGTTTGTTTGTTTCTGACACACAGGTCTGGCATCATATACATATATGTATATATGCAGATTTATTTTCTATTTATTTTCAACCGCTTAAAGAAAGTGAGAGCATTCAAAAGCGCAGACAGAGCAACGATCATGGCATTGCACGGGGAAAACGTAGTAATGATTTTGTTTATATTTTTTGTATTTGCTGACCCCATCAACAATTATGCTGGGACATATCAGTTGGAGTACGCAGCAGCCAGAGCCACTGAACTCACAGCCACCAACGACAGATCAACAAGAACCGCAGAATCAAACAAGTCAGAAAATAGAACAAGAATTTACCAAAATGACAGATCAACAAGAGCAGCAGTCACAGCCACAGCAGCAGCAACAGGTGCAACAACAACAACAGATGCAACTCAAAAATGAAGAACCAAGAACAAATTTGATCATCAATTATCTTCCACAAAGTATGACAGAGAAAGATCTGTACAGCTTGTTTGTAACTATTGGACCCGTGGAATCTTGTCGTGTTATGAAAGATTATAAAGTAGGTTCAGTTACAGAAATATCTGCAATCTTTTTATATTTCCACAAAATCTACATTCTTAATTCACTTTTATAGACAGGATATAGTTATGGCTTTGGGTTTGTTAATTATGCAAAAGCTGAAGACGCAGCTACAGCTATAAGTACATTAAACGGACTCCAAGTCCAGAACAAAAGGTTAAAAGTGTCTTTTGCACGACCATCTGGGGAAGAGATTAAGGAAACTAATCTTTATGTAACAAATTTGCCAAGGTATACTAGAATAATTAATATTAATTTATATGTTAGTTAGTAGATAAAAATTAGAATGTATAGTGATATTAAATGATGTTTATTTCAGAAATATAACTGAAAGTCAGATCGATGATATATTTAGCAAATATGGAAATATCGTGCAAAAAAACATTTTAAAAGATAAGCTCACTGGATTACCAAGGGGTGTAGCATTTGTGAGGTAAGTTTCTTCTATTCTTGTAACATCTCATTACTAAAATCATATAATATTACCTAGCCTGTTTTGCGAAGACTAGAATGTTGTAAAGGGACAGTTTTATTAGCGTCAAAGAGCAAATTGTCATGCTAATAGAAAGAATAGCTTATATCTCTTAACACAATGTCATTCTTGTCATAATTAGTAAGATAAGATCTCAAGTTAGTAACAAAGTATAATACAAAAAACAATTTGTAGAAACATGTATTTAATGCATTTGATATTAATGAGTTACATTTTTGTTATTTTCATTGTGTGTACACAATATGCTTGGAAAATTGAAGCACTTATGAATTGACAGGTGCAACTATCGATGGCAGGGAGAAATTGCCTAGTCATTATGCAACTGTTATCCGGATTAGACACCTGTATTTATTTTCCCGAGATCTTTGCTGCCAAATTATTTTCGTATCACTCCTCTGCCGCGTGTTTCACTTGCATAATTTCGATTTACTGACCACTGACCTAGTTAGCCATCGTGAATTGTACGTGCAACTAGATTTCTGGTTTGTTGCAGGAAAATAGTCCGAGAAGTGTGTCAGGTAGTTAGAAATAGAATCGGAACTAGTTTGACAAATTTCTTAATTTTTGGCAGATTTTAAGCATTCGTTAACGCCTGTTCTATATAACACGCTCTAGATCATTCCTACAATTTCATATACATAGAATCTGGCCGGTGGTAAATGCGTCCATTGCCAAGTGAAGTTTCTGGCCGATTTTTAATCTCTGTCTGTGGTTACTGTAGATTCGACAAGCGGGAAGAAGCACAAGAAGCGATCGCCCGGCTACACGGCACGATACCAGATGGTGGATCAGAGCCACTTAGCGTAAAAATCGCGGAGGAACACGGGAAACAGAAAGCGGCGTACTACGCTGGATGGCAAGCTGGTTACAATCAGAGTCGAGGTAAGTAATTTCGATTTCCTCGATAGACAATTAGTCTTGCCCGAATTTCTTTCGTTTTCTACCTGACAGTAGAAATTATCTTCTCGATGAACAGATTGTGGAAATACGAATTTCTTTAATAAAATTATAACAAGTAAAACAAATTGATTTGTAAGTAACTGTGACACTCGATTTTTACTGACAGGTCAGATCTGCATTTTGGCTTACTATGAATCTTACTAAAATCGCAGTAAAAAAAAAAAAAAAAAAAAAAAAAAAAAAAAAAAAAAAAAAAAAAAA